ACAGAATGTTTTACATCCAAATATTATTGTGGAACGGGAGTAGATCCGTAAAGTAAAGTTTGCTCCAATCACGCATCACAGATTAAGTAAAATCTCAATCAGTGATGCAGTGCTCGGAGTAAGACTTTTACTGTCCTACACCACGTTCTATTCATAGTTCAACCCCTACGGGTTGAACTATAGAAAGACGATAGGCAGGTGACTGCCCATCATCCATTTTTCCTTCTTACAGAAGCGTTGGCTCTCTCAAATATACGAACTCCATTTCCTCGCAATGGAGAACGGACCGGAGCCCCCCCAACCCCAGTGTGGTCAGAATACTATAGTACGTAGTTTATTTGATTATTTTAGGTCTATTATAAGTTTTACAGTTTATCAGAATAATCTGATAAACTGGGTTTTAGGGTTTTGCTGTTTTTACAGCACATGACTGATGACTCATTTTGAGAGTCATTAATCTTAGGGTTACTGTTTACAATTATTAATAAATGACTCCATGAGGAGGGAGAACGTTGAGATATAGTTACTCGACGTGTACTTGTCATTTTTAACTATACTTTGGAAAGTTGTTAGTTTATTATTAATTGTGAAATAAGCTATTTTATTTAAGCTACTTGATAGTATTAAATTGAAATTTATTAGTTTTTATACAAAGAAAAAACTTTGCAAGTAACAGCAGAAGCAAGATGACGAGATCGCTAGAATCTACCGACGGAGGAGGTCGATAGAGGCTCTACTAGCAGTGACGCTGGTACCAGGATGCCGTCCTTGCTGTCAAATAGTAACAGCGGCCCGGTAGAAACACAGAAACCGGGCGAACAGCAGATATAACAGCACCAGTCAAGAGGATCTGAAGGAATCAATCGACGCTTTAGGCTAAGTAGAATTAGTATGGCTAGGCAGTTAGGAAGGGTCAGGCTTTCTCAGCAAGTAGCTATTATTCCTAGAAAGCAGCAAACATTATCAAACAAAGACACTACAACTGAACACGAGGAGCTATCGAAAGAATCGGAGAGATCGAAATCAGTAGAACAGGAGCGAAATCAGAAGGTCCGGAGGGATTAAGATGGCAAAGACAAGGGCTCAGACAACGAACAAGATAAGTAACAACAATAACTAAGAGTAGTTCTAGTAGTGGTCGAAACTATAAGGTTAGAGATACAAGTAGTAGGGCAGTAGTTAAACCAGAACCCTACTATAGACACGTACAGACTAGAAGAACAAGCTTGGTTAGTGAAGACAATTGTTGGAGGTAAAATTTCGTTCGAAACAGGAAAATAGAGTCAGAAAAGGTAGATTTTAGAGTGTTGAACAGAGAAATATTTAAAAGAAGATATAAGATAGTAGTGCCTACGTTAGTTAGGGCTAAAAGTGATAACATTACAAACATTATAGACCCACGCCAGATCTAGACAAAATCAAACTATAGCAATGTTATTTACACCTTTGTAGAAAGCATGGGGGTAGGAATAAGGATAAACATACCACCTGCACATATAGGCTTAGAACGAATAGATTTACAGTAAGCGAGTGGTTTCAGACGAGCTAACATTCTATTCCAGTCGTTGCAAGAAACTATAGCTCAACACATTCGGGCGACGGGACGTACGAGGGAAATATTAAGTAGAGTCTAGTTGCATAAGAGAGGGATCGGTAGAGCCAGAAAGGCCTATATGGAACCATCATGGGTTGCTTACCACCATGGCACATGTTGGAACACGGAAGAATAAATCAGCGACATACGGGGAGCAACACAAGAGCTGAAGAGCCTTCTCAGGAGTAAAAGGGGTTCACTGAAGAGGGATGTGACTGCACCAGAAGAATAGAGAAGCACACAAGGGGGTAGGGTGAACCCCGACGGGTACTAAAACATAAATACATATAACATATGCATTGGTTAAAGACAGGCGCAGGATTCATGGGTGAGTTGATACTGCGGCAAGGGACGAAATAATTTGTCTAAGTAAGAATGTCGAGATTTATTGATAAGGGCGTCGAACCTCTAGGACGGGGAAGTATTTATACCCGAATTATTTTGAGGATGACTGCATACATTTCCAAACCTCTATTACATTACATTACATACCTATTATGTCCAACACACGTCAAAGCCGCCGACAGCAACGCCTAACCCCTGAACGTCGAGGCGACGATGATATAGACCGGAGAGGGACCAAGCGCTGCCAACCTCCAACGAATCATCCCCGCCATCTGTCTGAGACAGGGCGGAGGGATACTCAAGATGACGAGATCCATAACCAGGAAGCAAAATTTGATCGACAGATACCTACGGCAACTATATGGTATGGCTCTCATAGTCACTGTAGTGGTTCAGTAAAGATTGATGGGAAGAAATGGTCAGTAAATTCCCGTTTGAAGCTCGCTATATGGAACATTCGATAGTAACAGTGTTTTGTCCCGAATTGACTCAGCACATATCTTCCATTGTCGACTCACTTGGCCCAAGCTTCAAACGGGAATTTACTGACCACTTCTTCTCATCAATGTTTCCTGAACCACTACAGCGACTATGAGAGCCATACCATATGTTCATACATTGTATCATACATACTTGCCATTTTTGAAATAAATAATGTTATCCCTATTAAGGACTTAATGGCGATACAGGACCCATTGCTGTCGTCTGATAACCGTGTTTATATCCAAGTGCAAGTTAACGGACGGATGTTCAAGGCACTAGTTAACACGGGAGCAAACAGAAGCTGCATCTCACAGACATCCGCAGACCTCCTCGGCCGCCCGACAACTCCAGCACCACCTGGGTCATTCATATATTTAGCTGACAAGGCGGTTCGAACTCCTAGACTGGGGACGCCGGAAGTGGTTCCTATTCGGTATGGGTCCAAGATCATTGACGGGTCACTAGAACTAATGAATTTACCAACGGGGATAGACGTTATGGTGGGACAAGATATGTTGAATGGTTTGGGCCTATACATAGGAGGCATTCAATCTTCACCCGCGCCTATCGACCCTACAGAACTCGATGAGCTCCTCGAACCAATCCCACGTCGACAGGCGCCGAACACAGCGGAACCTGCCGATGCACGACAGCGACTCACATGGGACTTAGAAACGAACGCAAAGATTGCTGACAAGGCAAGTTGTCGCCTGGAAGGGAGCGAGATTACTATACCGGTAACCCGCGAACAGGCGATGCATATGCGCAGATCAACGCGTAATTTCGTATCCGACCGGTGGCTACCATATGTAGACGAGCAAGTCCAGAAGTGGTTGTCGGACCTGGTAATAACGAAGCGGACGACACCAATTCCGCTCCTCGCGGTCCCGACGTTTGATGCAGTGGGGAATGTGAAGAAGGTACGCGTGTGCTTAGATATGCGGGCGGTCAACGCCCTGATCCCAGGCGATCAATTCTTAATTCCCAAGGTCAACGAACTGATCTCTCGCCTCAAGAGTAAGAAGTACTACACCACGCTGGACATATCGGCTGCTCATCATAGGCTACCGATCCATCCTGACTTACAATATCTCTTTAGTTTCACTCACGAGCGTTACCAGTACTCTTTTACATCAGCGCCGTTTGGACTACACGTGCTCACACAACAGTTCCAGCGAACCTTGAGCACGATACTGGATGGCTTATCGGTCCACCACTATATCGACGACATCGTGATTGCTAGTGATGACTATGACGAACATATCGAGACGGTGCGGAAGGTGATTCAACGCTTAACATACCACAGTTTCAAGCTCAACCCTGCCAAATGCCACTTTGCCATTTTGGAAGTGATCATCCTAGGAAAGAAGGTGTCGGCTAAGGGCATAGACATTGATCATGAGGAACAGGCGAAGCTTATTGACTGGCTTACCCCACTACGGTACAAAGATATAGCCTCTGCCTTAGGGTTGGCGAATTATCTCCATGAGCATCTCCCTAACTTTGCGAATACCGTTGCACCGTTGCGCGAATTTTGCAAGCTCAAACGGAAAGAGTTGATCGGCGACCGATGAGAGGAAAGGCACGCACCAGCGTGGCAAGCCATGAAGGATGCTGTGGTTAATGCGGTCGCTTTGCACTTTCCGGTCGACGGTATACCCTTAAATTTGGAAACCGACGCGAGCGACTACGGGTTGGGGGGAGCGCTGTTCCAATGGGTCGACGGGAAGAAACACTACTCTGAACCACGCCCAACAAAACTATGCCCCACCAATGAAGGAGTTACTCGCCCTAGTATATAGTCTCACACATTTTAGGGAGTATTTGGATGGACAACGGTTTGCAGTTTTCACCGACCGACCACATCCAAGTGGATTACATCCCAATGTCACTGGAGTCCAGCCGCAAGAACAATTATATACTTCACGTCTTGGACATCGCCACTGGCTACTCCGTCCTCCGAGCCACACCGGACAAAACGAAGGAGACCGCGGCACAGACACTCGTAGAGATTTTTGGCGAGCACGGTTTTCCACGGCTGATCCAAACGGACATGGGGGAATGAATTCACCAATAAAATAGTGGAGCGTTTGGTGCATAAAGTGGGGATGTTACATAAGGTGTCGCCACCATATCGACCCCAAGTGCTGGGCGCAGCGGAACGCTGTCATAAATTGCTGCGAGGCGGTTCCTCTACGTTGGGACGAACGCCTTCCGTTTACAATGCTGTATCAGAACCTTCGGATATCCCGCTGCTATAAGAGTGTACCGTTCAGCGTATACTTTGGCCGCCGTCACGTCCCATTTGCCGATTTTACTGACGAGTTGCCTAACTCTCAGCCAATAACGAATGACACCTGGGCACACCGGTTGGACCAGTTGCAGGATACCATCCTGCCGACTCTCCACCGCATTACCAAGAAGTATACAGGCAAACTAACGAAGACATTTGATCGCCTGCATGCTCATGACTTGGTACACTTCGATGAGGGGGACGTGGTTATGGTACGTTCAGAAGGCCGCACAACTAAGGCCATGCGGCCATTGTTTGGGCCATATGTTGTAAAGGCCAGACACGGGCAACGCTATGAGAAGATGGTTCCGTTCCGCCAGAATTCAAGGACAAACCGGTACGGGTGGAACTCCTTCGGTTGGTGCATAGACGCACAGACCCTCCACTTAATGATGAATTGTGGACTGAAGGATGTGTTGAGTTTCGCCACATTATTACACACCGTACTATTGATGAGACAGGGAAATTGGAATACCTGGTGAGATGGCGGGAAGGCGATCCAACGTGGGAAACAGCGGAAGCATTTGATGATGCCAACGATATCGTGGCCTACCATAAAGCTTCGCAAACACGGACACGTAAGCGCCAACGCGCCCAAATCTAATGTTAATTATCTGACGACCGTTTGGTCGAACGGTACGCTCGAACTGTGATCTTCAAGCCCTCCAGCTCTCGGAGGTTAAATGCCAGCGCACTGCTCTAGCTCTCGGAGGATAACTGCCGGCACATAAGGTACTTTGGTATTTCTTATCATCTCTGAAACTGGCACACAGCTTCGGCCAGTGTTTCAGTTTGGGGGGGTTGTGGTCAGAATACTATAGTACGTAGTTTATTTGATTATTTTAGGTCTATTATAAGTTTTACAGTTTATCAGAATAATCTGATAAACTGGGTTTTAGGGTTTTGCTGTTTTTACAGCACATGACTGATGACTCATTTTGAGAGTCAATAATCTTAGGATTACTGTTTACACATACTTTATTTTACATCATTCTTGACTTGTGTATTCTTATCAGGCGATGATGACATCTAGAAAGACTAGTACAAGCTGCCAGGCCGGGGGATGCAGCTATGTTCGCCGACATCAAAGACGGATTCTATGCGTTAGCTGTGGAAAACGCGCGCTTTTGGCAGTTCAGGGATCACACCGGCCAGCTCTGGTTCTTCCATTCAAAGTGGGACCAAGATCTGGAGCTACTAGCGCCCCCAGAGTCATTGCTGAAAATTATTCGAAGAATTGGACCGACGTCTCCAGCGCATGGTCATCATACTTCCCATATGGCCACACGCGATTTGGTGGCTTCACATCGTCGACCATGGCCTCGACCTCACTATCCTCGAAGCAGGGGCAGTACACTACCTGGCTTCTATCGCTAAGACACTCGGACGAACCGTACCACCGACACGACTTTACGGGGCCGTGCTCTACGATCCGACCGCAGGCGTCTAAGCGCAATCGTTGACCAGGAGACAGTGTTTCGTCAACTATCAAATGGCGGCCTAGCGCCAGGCACTCAGCAGAATTATGAAGTCGCAATGAACTACTGGAGATGGTACGCCGCCCAGGCAGGCATCGATCATGCTGTACCAACTCGCACTAACATGCTCGACTTCCTATCCTATTGTTTTTATGATGGTTGTCAAGCCAACCAGATACGCCAGATCCGTGCTGCCATCAACAACTATGCTCGGTCACACGGGTTACAGATCATCAGTGACGACGAGTGGCCACACGCTATTCAGGGATATGTCAGTCTCTGCCATGACATTCATCCCGACACTCTCCCCCGCACACCCAAAATCCTTGCCACGTGGATAGCCAGCATTTTTGACGATTAACGCGGCTTGGCGAGCCCTCATTGCGAACGAGTGTCTCCTCCCGTGATACGAGCCAACTAGGCAAACGGTGATTACTTTCAGTCGTAGTGGAAACAAATAATATTACAGAATGTTTTACATTCAAATATTATTGTGGAATGGGAGTAGATCCAGTAAAGTTTGCTCCAATCACGCATCAAAGATTAAGTTAAAAACTTAATCGGTGATGCAGTGCTTGGAGTAAGACTTTTATTGTCCTACTCCACGTTCTTTTCATAGTTCAATCCCTACGGGTTGGACTATAAAAGGACGATAATCAGGTAACTTCCCATCATTTATTTTTCCTTTTTACACCCACCCGCAGCCGCCCTCATCTTCCATCTTTCCTTTAAGTATTGCACCGTTTGCACAAATGGGATATTCACCACTCTCATTAGAATTGTGGTCCAAAAGATTTATCAATAGCCAAATTATGTGATACCATTTAGCTCTGGTAGGGAATAACCGCATGCAGCATCTCGTAGACATGCGAGCCGTCAATGTGTAAATACTATAATTCACCCAAGCACCGGTCCCCTTGCCTCCTCGGTCACTATTACACTCACCTCCGAGTGTGATCTCAGTTAGCCCTAAGATCGATCAGCTAGAATGAACACAACCCTATGTACAAATTTTATAGAGAGAACCAAATATAAACTATAAAACAA